CCCCTAAAGTTCTTGGAATCATAAATTAATGTTTCCCATCCTGCTGGAACAGACACACTTAAAAAGATGTCCCAACCTTGTTTTGAGATGGAGTCTCACTCTGTTGCCCAGGCTGGAGTACAGTGGCGTGACCTTGGCTCACTGCAACCTCTGCCTCCCGGGTTCAAGTGATTCTCCTGCCTCAGCCTCCCAAGTAGCTGGGATTACAAGCGTTCACCACCACGCCTGGCTAAATTTTTTGTATTTTTAGTAGAAATGGGGTTTCACTATGATGGCCAGACTGGTCTCAAACTCCTGACCTCGTGATCCGCCCGCCTTGGCCTCCCAAAGTGCTGGGATTACAGGTGTGAGCCACCGTGCCCGGACCCAAAGATAATTTTCTAACAACTCCAAGGCAAGCAAGTGAAATGTCTAAGGTCACACAGTCATCTTCAAAGGTATAATATTAATAAATGGAAAGTAAGTACCACTGATTATGAAACTCGATGTCATGCAGTCGACCACTCCAAGCAGACGCAGCTCTATCTGGACCTCTGATCGGCGGAAGTGCAACCACCTCTCGGCCTTGGCTGGGCTGAGGTTGTGGGGTGGAGCCTAGTGGGCAGTTGTGTGGTCTGGGCCTGGCTATCTTCGAGGTTGGTGCAGTGCAGGCAGCCCCTGCCAGTTCTGACTGGGTGGTGCCAGTGTTTTGCATCTATACACCAGCGATGGACAGTCCCTGCAAATCCGCAAGGGACCCAATCTCCAGCTGAGTTGCAGGTCCAGGAACACAGCCTGTTAGCAATGTCTAAGACACGTCCCAAGGATAAGAAGAAAATGGAGAGCTACAGAGCCTAAGACAATGGGAGTTGCAGAATCGAAAACTATTACTATCCGAAGCATTTCCCAGCAACCAAAAGGAAAATGAAAACAGAATGTGACTTCCACCACTCACCAGATGGAGACTGTGATGATTAAAGAAATCACAGGTTTCGCTTCTTTGCAGTCTGCATCTGGTGAGTGAGTGAAGGTGATGCATGGAGCTGGGGAGCCTTCTTAGGACGGTACTGCCCCTCACCCCAAACCTTTTTTCTCCCGCGTGATGGTGTGATTTCATGAACTGCGGTTTCAGTTCTAACCTCACCATCCCACTGCCAGGGATCCTGGCCACTGCAAACCAGGATCGATTTGGTGTCTATCACTGGGCAGCTAGTCTTGTAGTTTAAGACACCAGTTTCTGTTATATTAAGAAATACAGTAAAAGGTTCTAATTGGAGATATTTATACAAAATCATTGTGCAGGCCAGCCTCAGAAGCAGAGTTCTGGGCACCGGTGCTCCCCAGAGGGCAGTGCCGCCCCCTGGCCAGCTGCCTTGCTGGGCTCTCACTTCCAAAATCCCTGCGGGTTCTGACTGGCACAGGGGGGTGTTTATTCAGGAAATGCGTGCAGGAACTCAGGCGGAGGTGCATGAAATTAGGGACAGGTGGGAGCAGATGGGGTGGGAGTCTGTCAGTCCTTAAGATAAGGTAAAAAGACCCCGGAGGACATCAAGTGTGGGCTCCTGTCCTGGGTATGACGCCACCACCTCCCCTGGCCAGAGACAAGTCGCAGCCGCTGTGCTCTTGGGACTGTGCGGGCGCTGCAGCCAGAGGTGCAGACAACGGAAGCCGAGGCCTGGCTCAGGACGGCAGCGCCTCTGCACCTCTCACTTCAACGGTGCCGCAGTTCCTAAAAGATCAAGGAGCCCTGGGTGTCCTGTAGGCAGCCCCGCATTGTCACCAGCACTCTGAGGGGCACACGGGGCACAGAGGCACGGAGCTCAGAGCCAAGCCCAGCATCACCCCAGTGCCCAGCCGGGTGCTGTGGTGTGTGCATCTGTGACCCATGGCCAGGATGGCTGTAGGGAAAGCCCTGGCACAGAGCCTGCCTGTAGCAGGCACTCAGGAGGGGTTGCCACCCACACCAGTCAAACCCCACAGCTCTGCAGGGCCTGACCTGTGACAGCCCCATGGGGCTGGAGGTGTTGCCCTTACTCAAATCTGGTCTACACTCCACCCACCCCTGCACACTGCCTGAGCAGAGAAGACCCACTGTCGGGGACTGCTGAGCTCGGCTTCGGCAGGCAGCCCCCTCGGAGGGCACGAGCGAGTCCTTCTGCCCAGGATGGGACCCAAGGTAAGAGCACGGGGCCTGCCAGGCCCCCAGGCCCAGGCCTCTGCTGGGAGTTGGGGGAGCGGTGGCCATAGGCAGCGTCTGAAAGTGGTCTGCAGGCCCCTTTCAGCTCCACGGGTTTGAGCTGCATTTTCTCCCCACCTGTGGCTGGATTCCTGGCTGGCTGTCTCACCAGCTCACAGACGGCTTCCATCCAACTCCCTTGGTGATCCCAGCACAGCACCAACAGGACAGCTCACCACGGAAAATGCCGCTCCAGCCCCACTCAGGACCCCTGGCCCAGCCCAGGGCGAGCAGAGCCACACCCTGCATACAGCAGGCACTTCATTCATGTCCCTTCGCCTGCAGCTCTGGGAAGATGCAACCTCTGCTGTCCTGCACAGCCTGGACTCCTGCTGGGTCTGACCTCATTCCCCTACTCCCTGGCTGACGCCAAAGCCGCTGGCCAAGGACACACGGCACAGGTTTAGGAGAAAGCAAGCTTAGGGCCACTCAGCCTCCGCAGATCCAGACCCACTGTTCCTCCCAAGCAAGCAAAGGGGTGACGCAGAGCAGCCGGGCCAGGCGGATCTGGGGCCAGCTTCGTCTGGCTGGGAGCAGGACACACACCAAACCCATGGCACCGCGCTTTGAGTGGCTTCTGGCGCTAATGGCGGTAACTTGGCTCCACACAGAAGGACAGACAGACATGCACATGCTGCTGTCTCCAGTCCACGCCTGCCAGTCGTGTGGCTTCCGAAATCAGACCGAGTGTGTCCACAATGGCATCATAAACTGGTTCATAGGAGCTCCATTTTTCTTTCAAAAAAGGCATGTTAAATCCACATATGAAGGAAGTGTGTTCATGGAATCCAGGTCATCACCCCAGAGCACAGCAAACCTTCATGTGAACCACAGGCACAGAACCTTCATCAATGAAAAGTGTGCTCAGCATTAACCTTCAGAAGCTGATGACACTGTTCTCACCGTAAGCAGAAAAGAGGAAAGTTAGAACAAGAGAAATAACATATTTCATAAGCTTGAATATAAATAATAAATATTAAGTCTGAAAAAGACAGGATTCTTACCTCACTGCGATGGAAAAAGGCTTGAATGGAATCTGAAGTATAAAAGGGAAGAGAACCCAGGAGAAACTTCCTCCATGCCTATTGATGGCACTTCCTTCTCAGAAGTGAATGGATCCTGCTTTTTGCGGACATAGGTGCCTGCAATCGCCAGCGCCTCTCAGAACATGAAGACTGCACTGGGGAGAACCCACGGAAATGGACAGGGCTGCTGGCCAGGTGACTTCCCCCACAGGGGCCCCAGAGCCAGGTGAGGACACCTCCAGAGAACGTGCACCCCAGACCTCGAGGCACTGGAGGTCCCATGGGAGCAGCAGTGCCATACAGAGCCTCTGCACACGGATCCACCTGGGCTGCACCTTCTGCTCTGCCCCGGAGGTGGAGGAGGTGGCTATTTAGTGGGAAATACGTTCTAGAGGAAAGATGGCAAAAGGTGTCCAAATACGTAGTGAGAATCCAGTTAAACATTTAAAATTTATTAAACTTTTTTTGGTCAAAATAGTTGAACAAATATATACAATCCCATTTTACTAGAACTGTCTTTTTAAGGACCAGGGTTGATTAATGTTTAAATAACTCTGTTCCACACCTCAGACTTTGTAAATTGTGTCACAATCAATCAATATACAGTATAGAAATTATTTTTAAGTTAAAATAAAAGTACTTTTAGATTTTTCAATTTCTAACTTAATGTGAACTCAAGTGGCACTGTGTTAGCATTAATTCTGGGTATTGACGGACACCCTGTTCTTGTGCATGTGGATTAGTAATCAGCACACACCTCCATCTCCACTGGGGCACGAGGAATCAGGATGAGCACACACCTTCATCTAGACAGGGGAACGGGGGATCAGCACACACCTTCATCCCCACAGGGGGACAGGGGATCAGCACACACCTTCATCCCCACAGGCGTACGAGGAATCGGCACACACCTTCATCCCCGCAGGGGTACGAGGAATCAGCACACACCTTCATCCCCGCAGGGGTACGAGGAATCGGCACACACCTCCATCTCCACAGGGGGATGGGGGATCAGCACACACCTTCATCCCCACAAGGGCATGAGGAATCGGCACACACCTTCATCCCCACAGGAGGATGGGGGATCAGCACACACCTTCATCCCCACAGGAGGATGGGGGATCAGCACACACCTTCATCCCCACAGGGGCACGGGAGCCCGACTCCCCACTCCCCTCGGGGACACGTAGTGGGTGTGTGTTAAATCCCACAGAAGCAAGCTCTGGTCACTCAGCATTGTTACAGCTCTGTATTATTTGTCTTGGAAAATCTTGATTTCTGGTATCAAAGATCTTACCTGAAAATAAACCAACGTGCTGGTGGCATCATGTAATTAAAATTACTTAATTTTCCTGGCTTGAAATGCAGGATGCAATTTAGCATGCATATAATTTTAGCAATATTTAAAAAGTATACTTCCCCCAAAGTACTTTTTCAAAAGCCTTAGAAAGAAAGCACGTTTCTTCATCTGTAGTGAATTTGAGGCTACTTTAAACCAGGCTAATTAGATGGCAGCAATTTCGGTTCTTCCTTGCAATTTTCTTTCTCAGAGGTGGCCTCGGTTCTGGTTTTTCCCAGACCTTACCTGGTGTATCCGATGGGCTCCTTCTATAGAAACACAGCGGGTGGCAGCTTGGGGACAGAAATGCTGCACACATCCCCCCACGCTGCCAAAGAAGGGGACACATTTCTCAAACAGGTAGTTCCAAAGAAGAACCCTGCATAACTTCATTCTATGCAATGAAAAGGCAATGCTTACGTTTGGATTTAAAAACACTTTTTATAGCGTGTTGTTTTTATTGAGCGCTCACACCCGAAGGGGTGGCGGCGGATGCTGTGGGTGAGTGGGGCCGCCTGAGCCTGCTCGGGCCACATCCACACATCCACGAAGCCCACCCGGACTCAGAGGAAGGCCGAGAGGACACGGACGGTGGCCACGCCACGCTGCAGTGAAGGCCCAAGTGCGATGGCAGAGAAAGAGGGAAAGTCAGAGGAAGAGCGGTAACTGACAACAACTTTTCTCTTGGATGTTAATTTTTTGGTCTATAAATTGGAAAGGAAGGCTCGGACTGAAATAAATACATTTATTCTGAGTCATGGCCTTTTGGGAGCAGTGTCCGTCAGCTCTGCTTCGAGAGCGTCTCCATGTGAGCAGTAGCGCCTGCCTCGCGCCTCGCCAAAGGCAGAAACACACCGGGCCTCCAGAGGAGGCAGCTTTCTCCCATGTCTGTGAAGGGAAGTAGCAGGTGCATCACTGTTCTTAATGGAGTGGACGATGATGCCTTTTCTCTGACAGAAAAATGATCGGCTTCACTATGCAAGACAAGACGGTCCTCACGTTCGCGTCCCTAGTTGATTTTGTCCTGGAATATGTACAAGTTATTGGTGGCAGCCACGGCAATGACATTGTCCGCGGGGTGCCAGGCCGTGTGCAGGATCTTCTTGTTGAAGTCCAGACTGTCCACACTGATCTCATCTTTCTTCCGCTTACCCCCTGTACACACCTTCCTGGGTTTGAGGCTGGCACGTGGTTTGCTGCTCTCTCTCGAGGCCTCCAGGGTCACATCCCTCCGCGTGTCTCTATCAAACATTCTGAAGAAGTTGTTGTAGGACCCGGTCATGATGGCGCTGTTCAAAACAAGAGCAGACAGCAGCACTCCTAAGTGGGGGGAGCAGCAACAAGGACTCAGACCCCACCCCTGGGGTGCACAGTGCACACCACCCTCCCCCACAACCCAGTTACTTTCAGAAATCAGGAATGAACAATCACAATAACAGAAGAGAAATGCAGTGAAGATTCTTACTGAACTTTATATATAATCATGTCAGTAAGAATAGTCACAGGAGAAACAAAATAATGGAGTCATACTTTTAATGACATTAGTATATTTTCTGAAACAATCCCACCTATTTATCTCACTCATGAATAACAGTACAGTTTATTTTTAAGCCTTAAATTCTGCAATTTGTGAGTAATTCATAATGACCTGAACATAATCCTTATCATGTTCAACAGTTACTAGTCATATCTGTCAATGTTTCTTCAGAGTTAAACTGCTTTTCTATTAATTTCAAAAAGTTTCCTTCAAATGAAGCAACGGATAGAAATAGTAAAAATCTTAAACACTGGGCGAAGTGTGGCAGAATTTTAGAACAACTGCATTTCACAACACATTCCAGACAATACAATACTGTCCATGCTTTTGTTTCTTCAAGATCAATTGTAATGGCTTTCAAATTTCTCTGCAGTTGAAAAATTCCACTAACGCACACACCCTCATAACTTCATATTGGCAAACACCTCTGCAATCTTACTTTTTCTACAAAAATGACAGAAAAATGGCTGAATGATAGCAAACACTGCCCTGCTCTGACCCATGGCTTTATGAGTCCAGTTTCTGATGAAAGATGTGTTCAAACAATGCCCTTCTGATTTCTCCAGCAGTCCTCGAAGCTCGTCTGCTCTTCGTATTCTGACACTGACCCGCACCCTCACGTCCTGCCCCCAGGGTCATGCACGGCGAGAGGCCTTCGCGCCGGCACGTCTTCAAGGTGCCACGAGAAAGAAGCAGGCTGTTTCCCTTCCATGGCCCAGCACTGACCCCAGCTGCTGGCAAATATCTAGTGTCTGGCTGACCTTGTCTAAAACTTCAAAGCATACACAGACAAAAAAAGACAAACTCAGAAAAGAGAAATTGCACTCAGCTATCCACGTTTATTTCACATCTCCTGCTTCCATCCAGGAGTCCACGGCACCACAGGGGCAGGAGACACAAGATGTGCCCAGCGCCCTCCAGCAATGCCAAGTTGTGCACGTGGTCTTGGAACAGGGGTGTGCAGCCAAGTTGGCACGTGAGGGCCATCGAGTGGGAGTTCCCGAAATTAGTTTCCACATAGAACACAATGTTTACGAAAGGGTAAGTAAGAATGTGTGAATCTGAAGCTCACATTTATGTTATTAAAACTCAACAGCAACCATTATTCACAACACAGACAACAAAAGATGTATGGCCGACATTGGAATTGCTGGTGCGTGGTAATAACGAAAAGCAGATCAGTTTTTACACAGATTTATGATCACTTTTAAATTCTTCACAGACAGTGCCAGCCCCAGAGCGGGTGTTTCCACACTGCAAACAAGGGCGCTGCCCAGTAGCCCGGTGCTGGCCCAGGAAGGGAACAGCACAGACACAGACACAGACACAGACATAAGCGCATAACTGGTTTTGTGAGGCGACCTAGAACACGAGGAGGCGCTGCCACACACAGAATCAGGATTGGGCTGAGGCAGCACTGCAACGCCTCACTCCCCTTCATCAGGTCCCTCAACAGAAGTTTCCAGGCAGGAAGATGGGCGTGTCTGTGAAAGTAAATGGACTAAGCAAGTGTTACTGGGAATGCTTTTAGATGGTCTTGGGGATATGTAATCTAAGGGTATTTTGCAATATTTGAAATGTATCAAGATGAATAAAGAATACAGTAACTATCCATGTACCTGCAAGTCACTGCTAAGACAGTGAACACCCCACACACCCCAAGTCACTGTTAACATAGGGACTCCCCCCACGCACACTCACAAGTCACTGCTAAGACAGGGACCACCCATCGAACACCTGCAAGTCACTGCTAAGACAGTGAACCCCCACCAAGTCACTAAGACAGTGAACCCCTCTGCACACCTGCGAGTCACTAAGACAGTGAACCCCCGACACCCGCAAGTCACTAAGACAGTGAACCCCCCACACCCGCAAATCACTAAGACAGGGACCTCCCCACACCCGCAAATCACTGCTAAGACAGGGACCTCCCCACACCCGCAAGTCACTGCTAAGACAGGGACCTCCCCACACCCGCAAGTCACTGCTAAGACAGGGACCTCCCCACACCCGCAAGTCACTGCTAAGACAGTGAACCCCCCACACTGTGTTACCACTCTGGAAAGAAAGATGATCTATTCCGTTCCCAGTTGGGGTCTTCACTTGCTAGAGTACATATGTGTCATCCCCACACACATTTACATTTTGAATAGTTACACATTTTTTTTTTTTTTTTAGACAAGGTCTCGCTTTGCTACCCAGGCTGGAGTGCAGTGGCACGATCTCAGCTCACTGCAACCTCCGCCTCCAAGGTTCAAGCCATTCTCTTGCCTCAGCCCCCTGAGTAGTTGGATTACAGGCGTGCACCACCATGCCCAGCTAATTTTTGCATTTCTAGTAGAGATGGGGTTTCACCATGTTGGTCAGGCTGGTCTCAAACTCTTGACCTCATGATCTACCTTCCTCGGCCTCCAAAAGTGCTGGGATTACAGGCGTGAGCCACTGTGACTGGCCAACAGTTACCGAGTCTTAAAACAAAACTGTCTTGTATGTCTTAAACACGTTGTAGTCATTGCGCTGTACACGTTCCTCCTGAAATTTGTGAGATCCACCTATGTGATCCATGTAGTTCTAACAACTGATTCTTACTGCTTTTCAGTATATGTTATGACAGAGAACAACTTACCTGTCCGTTCCCCTCATTTTGCACCTGTGGGCTGTCTCCAAGTGTCTGCTGTTTCAGGTATCTGAGCATGTTTTCTTGTCTGTACACGCAAGAAGCTCCCAACCGGACTGAATGTCACCGAGGCCCACAAGAAGGGCACTGGCTGAGACCACCAGTCTCCACCCTCTCCCCTACACCCTCATCGTTCTGATGGGCGTGAAAGGACATCCCTCTGGCTTTACTTGCTGATCACTAAAAGGATGAACATTTCTATTTATTTTTCCATTTCTCCGAAACCCCATTCACGGTGTTTGCTCTTTTCTGAGTTGTTTGTCGCCTTCTTGTTGACTCCTAATTCTGCACATCTGGATACTTAATCTCTGTTCGTTACGTTTTTGGGGATTTTCACTTTTAATTTCAATATAAACAAGTTTAAAATTTAATGTAGTTGAATTTCTTAATGTTTTCCTTGGGCTTTGGGGCCTGTTAAAGCCCTTCTGTCTCCAGAGCTCACGAAGACGCCTCAGGCTTACAAGCACTCGGAGCTTATTTACTGTGTGGGGCTGGCGAGGGCTCTAGTTTTTCTCCCCCCAGCGCAGTTAACTAAGGTCGCCCAGCTGGCAGAGCTGCAGAGTCTGCACTGCTCTTCCCTGCCAGCTGCGTTCCCCATCTGTCTCAGCCCCTTTCTGCAGGGCCACGCTCCCTTCACAGCTCACTCTACTGAGCTCCCTGTTGTGATACATTGTTTCCCATTTGAAAATAATTTTATCACAAGCAGATTCTTGAACAAGTCATCTATTTCAAGGCTTGCCTCTAAGCTGGCGGTGGAGAGTCACGAGTCACACTTGCTGGATCTGTCACACGGCTTCTGGCTCCCACTATGGCCATGGCAAAGCCGAGTCTCACTCTCGGTGTCCGCTTTCGGAGGCAATTTGTGTTTTTTCCTTGGGTGCATTTAAGATACTCTCTTTGTGTTCGGTGTCCTGCAATTTCATGATGACATGGATGAGCATTTCTGTGCCTTCCGATTCTGTGTATTCAGGCTTTCATAAATTAGCGAAAATTGCTGGCCACTGTCACTTTAAGCCTCACACCCCACACTTCTCCGTTTAAACGTGTGCTGTGCCTCCTCCTGGCCTCCACAGTTCCTAGTGTCTCACGTTTTCTGTTTGGCTCTTTAGCCCCAATTTCTTCTGGTTTTCCTTTCCATCCACTAATAGAAGATCTGTTTAGCCAAAATGGACCTGCCGCTAAACCCACACAGTTTCATCTCTAGATGATCTGATTCCTTTCCAGTCTCCAGGTCATGTTTAGCAGTCATGTGGTTCCTGGTTTGCTCTTTCCTTCCTCTAGTCTGTGAATATCTCAAGCATTCTTAGTTTATCTTCTTTAACTTAGGATCTCAACAGCTGCCTTCCTGGAGGTTCAGTTCCACCATGGTTCTGCTGACTTGCTCACGGTGGCTTTTCCTGTATGTGCTTGGTAATTTTCACCCGTGAGCTCATGTTTAGATGATTTTAATGTGAGGGAATCCAGAGAGATCTGGGTGTGTTGGCAGCAGCCACCCAGCATGTGTGTTCTCATGGACTCTGCCAACAACGCCATTCTCTCCACCTGGGCCACTTCTCAGGGCTGTGCTTCCAGCAAGCGGCCTTGAAGAATGAGATCATGTCTCTTCTGGTCAAAGTGCAGGTGTGTTTACTGCCCACTGTGAGAGCAGTGGGGTTCTCCAAGCTCAGTGTGCATCAGCCATGGCCTCATGTGTCCACCCATGGGGAACCCAGACCAACGAGAGGCTCATGCTGCCTGCGGTGCCACGAGGACCCGGGAACCTCATGTCTTCAGTCAACATCCGTGAGATGCTACAGGCTGACAGGTCAGTCTGCAAACAGAGTAGAAGCCACAGCTGGAACCACGCCGGTCCGTCCCGATGCCCGCACACAGCCCTCACAGTAGAAGCCACAGCCGGAACCACGCCGGTCCGTCCCGATGCCCGCACACAGCCCTCACAGTAGAAGCCACAGCTGGAACCACGCCGGTCCGTCCCGATGCCCGCACACAGCCCTGGTGGAGGCAGGAGCTCCACGGCGTGAGACCTGACAGATCATGACGCAGCCGAACAAACCCACACTGCAAACCCTGTGCAGGGAGGTTATGCTTCCACGTCTCAAGGGAGCGCTGGCCACCCCCATGCGAGGCCTCAGACAGATAAACTGCCCTTTGGACTCCACCTGCCAGTGGAGGCAGACATCATCTTCCAGGGTCCCTGCTCCAACTCCACACCTCGTGTGGGCCAAGGCTTCCGCTCTTGAAAATACCACGCTCACACAGGAAGAGCCACCGTGAGCAAGTCACCTCGTGTGGGCCAAGGCTTCAGCTCTGCACCACAACCTGCTGTTCACGGGCGCAGTGGTTCCCGCTATGGACTGACGGCCCTGAGGCCAGCCAGGGCTGCAAGGCTGCTCTCAGAATAGACGCCTTCAGAGGCTGCTGTTCTGGTCTCGCTGCCTCTTAGTTTGTGGCTGTTGTGAGATTTCCTTTGCTTATCTGTGGGCTCAACTACGCACCTGAAGAGACACCTGCTGTATCATATCCAGCATTTCTAGGTGTTTAGGCCAGAGGGTTTCGCAGAATATCCAGTCAATCACCTATTGCCAATAGCAGACTCCGCTGTACTTTTAAATTCTGAACAAAAATTCTGTATTAAAATGGTGCAAGATAATCTTCCATCATCTGAAACGTAACTTTTTGAATAATAAAACGTAACTGTCAACCACACTAATCATAATATCTTTAAAGAATGTATACAAAATAAATTATCAAGGTCCTAGAAGCAGCACATTTCAAATTACACCAGCGTTTCACAGCAGCCGCGACCACGCTGTGTCTGGGCACAACAGGCAGCGGCTCTGGGGCGCTTCCATCTACTTCTCTCCAGAAGGACAGGCGGACTCTGCAACGCGGCCGTTCCAGTGAGGTGAATCCCTCCCCACTTCCTTCCTTTTCACTCATCTTTGGCATAAGAAAAAGTAATAAAACTAACATTCACTAATCATTTAAAACACAGCCGGCCTGTACCTAGTGCCATACTTCTTGTCTAAATATAGATGGAATGACAAGCTAGGTGAGAAACTTGCTCAGAGATCCTATTTTCTCTACCTTGATACTATCATCCATCAATCAAAACGTCTGGAAAACAACACCTATGAGCGTCCTCTGACGCTTGAGGACAGCTCGCCTCCCTCGCTGACCTTGCACTCTGGGAAACCAGCAAGCTTGGGGCGACGGCTCATCTCCACGCAGGCCTTACCTATCCGAACCGTTCCAGCAACACTCAAACTTGTCAAAGATGCAGTCGTTCTCATAGAGAGAGCAGAGCTTGCTGCGCAGGTACTCGTGGACTTGGTGGGTCTCCACCGGCCTGCTCTCCATGTTGAGGTCCCACACCTTCACCGACAGGTAGTCTCTGGTCATCATGTACCGCCCACTATGACTGAATTTTACATCAGATATGGATGAAATTATTTCTGAGAAGAAGGACCTACTGCTGGGATCTTCAGGCTCTTCAAAAACTGAAAAACAAAATAAAACGTTTTCAGCTTCTGTTTAAAAATCAGAGAACAAATCACTTTCCAGTTCAAGTAGGACGTGGCCCCTTCACAGAGACTCAGGAAGGGCTTGGCCTCAACAACACTAGGTCTTCTGATCTTTCTGATTCTCTAGGTTTTCTGATCTTCTGTGACTTCCGTGGGCAAAAGCTTCGGATACGACATTCTAGCACCAGCTATGGACAAGGGACGGGCATCAGAAGCGGAGACACCCAAGTCTCATCCAGACCCTGAATCAGAACCTCTAGGCAAGGTCCTGGGCACTGCAATCTGTGGGAGCTCCTCGGGGCATCCTGATGTGGGCCCAGGTTCAGCACCACCGCATTCCTGTAGGAGTGTCTTTGCATCCTCATGGCACCAGGCCCGAGCACGTGAAATCCTATCGCATACACATCACAGGAAGACATAAACAGCATTATATGGTCACGCAGACACAGCGGTCTGCGCCTCTGAGAAACTGCCTGCTTTTCAGAGGGTTGATAGCTTGTGGGTCTGCAGGAGTGACCACCTTGACCGGCAACACTGTGGTCCCGATTTTAACCACCAAGATGGTCCCACCTGTCAAAGCCAGCCAGCAAAGGTTTGTCTCCAATACTGAACACTCAAGTTCTACTGTGACAAAACTGGATTCCTATTTTCAGAAAGATCTGAGTGCTTCCTCAGCAGACTTTGCTTTCTCTGCAGTAACTTGACAGAGTTCCCTCCACCTGCACCTGTGGCAGAGAGAGGTGCCCACGGCCCCACTGGGCCACTGACTGCCCTAGTATAAGGTCATGCCTTAAGGTTTTGTAAAGTTCAGGCCAGGAGAGATGTGCTTCTTTTTTTTTTTTTTTCTAAGAGACAAGGTCTTGCTATGCTGCCCAGGCTGGTCTCAAACTCTCGGGCTCAAGTGATGCTCCCCACTCAGACTCCAGGGTAGCTGGGACCACAGGTGCGCACCACTGCACCTGGCTTGTGCTTCCTTGACCTTAAGCTGCTTTAGGTTTTTTCTCTTTTTTCTTGATGTAGGAGCCTGTGTGTTTGTTGGCTTACTATCTGAAGTTAACTTGAAGCCAGCTGTGCCGACACCAAGCATTTACTCAAGTAAGTCACTCTGATGACAAATAGAACTGGAATCTGAAATTACTTACTCAAGAATGTTACGCTTAAGATACAGGCCAAATGCTATGACACACTTATCTTCATCGCAGGAATTCTAGTAGAAATACAGAATTCTTAAAAACACACCTCAACCTCAGGAAAGAGAACAGGCAAAAAGGCTGCTGAGCAAGGTCGGTGGCACATTCCACCGAGGCGCTGGGGGCGCCGCTGCACACGAGCAGTGCCTCAGTCTGGTGGGACTGACTGGCGGCTTCCCCGTTAGAGGAAGTCACTGGACACGTGTCTACCTGTTGGCACTGGAGAAGGGTCAGCAATGTTTCAGGACACTGGGACACGCTGACTACAGTGCTCTGTCAAGTCGAGCCCATTCTTTATGGCTAAAAATAAAAACAAAACCAGAACTCCCCTCACCTAGAAGGAACTTGAAAGCTCAGCGGATTAAAATGCTAGACTTTCAGCTCAGGGAAGTGGCTTCCAATCCAGCCAAGCTCAACACAAACAGAGCTCGTTCCAGCACTTGGGAACAGCCTCCTGTGTGCTGGCGGCTTCAGCCCAGGTCTCACGCACAGAGGCAGAGGCACGGGTGGCTCTTGGTGGGACCCAGTGCTGGCAGCCTCTGAGGAGACACCCAGGCTCTGGGCATAAATGACCCGCTTCTCGGTGGTGCCACAAGCACCCACCCTACAGCCGCAAGCCTGTGGGAAGCACGACCTCGAGTTCCACTTACTAGCAGCAGCTCTGACAGCCACGCTTGGACGGCCCCAGCAAAGGAGGGCTCCCCAGGTGCGCAAAGGTACTTGGGGAACAGGAAGAACCCTCTAAGTCTTTGGAGACAAGTCAACGTCTGAAGAACAAGTGGTTCTAAATGAGAGGCTTTAAAAGACGCCAGGTACGGCTGGGCATGGTGGCTCACGCCTGTAATTCCAGCACTTTGGGAGGCCGAGATGGGGGAATCACCTGAGGTGAGACCAGTCTGGTCAACATGGTGAAACCCTGACTGTACTAAAAATACAAAGATTAGCTGAGCATGGTGGCTCGGGCCTGTAGTCCCAGCTACTCGGGAGGCTGAGGCAAGAGAATCGCTTGAACCCGGGAGGCGGAGCTTGCAGTGAGCCACGATCGCACCACTGCACTGCAGCCTGGGCGACGGAGCGAGACTCCGTCTCAAAAACAAGACGCAGGCACTTACACTTGGAGTGTCTGTCGCACAGGGCCGAGGAGCGCATGTCGCACAGTCGGATGGTCCCTTTGCTGCTGCTGTAGACGAACACGTTGCACTGGTGTGGGTGGAACTCGGCTGCGGTGATGACTTCGGTCAGCTCCTCCATGTTAGCAGGCTTGATGTCCACGATGTCTGGAAGGGTGTGGTTAAGGCACAGTGCTCGGCTCAGCTGGTTTTCATTAGTTACATTCAGTCACGTGAAATAGGATGAAAATAATCCACACGGTGAGGTCTAGGGGATTAGCTATTAAGAAGGCCGATTACACATCCTGAATTCCAAAGGAGCGCCTGGTAAGAGGATTGGGATGAGCACACTCAGACGGCAGCAACGCCCCGGCCCGCGGGAGACCCCGACACACGAACACCACTTTCATCTTGCTGCTATTATTGTTATACAGAAAGCCCTTAATAGCAAGATAGTACATACTTAATCATATAAATAGGAAGAGCAAGCTAGCACCATCTGTGCAAAATCCCACACTCCCATACAAAACTACAAATGCAAGAAAACCGCCATATTGCAAAAGACGTTGCTCTTCCTGACATGAAGTTTATTCTGTGTAGTCAGAGCAGATCCAACATGGCAGGCTGCCCTATACAGAAATCCTTCGACTGAAAAAAGGAAGGAAGGGCAGAATTCAGCTGTGGGTCAACTCAGACCAGTGGCCCCGTTTCACCCCGTAAGCTGAAACAACTAAGAAAACCAACACGACATGGAACCCCAGCTCAAGCCGCTGGACAGCAGAGGGAGGACGGCAGGGACCCTGGAGAGGCTGCAGATGAAGCAAGCCCCCTGCTCCCGCCTGCTGGCTGGAAAGGGGCCCATATGAGGAGGGCTGGGGCCGCCCAGACCGTGCACGGCCACAGAAGAATGCAAGTTCTAACTGGAAGCTGCTGCTCAGATGGGTGATTAAACACCGCTCTAACCTAAGCCAGTATTTTCTATCATCCGTTAGCAAATGTAGAAAAAAAAAACACATAAAGTTGGTTTTTCAAATGCAGCAAATTTAGAAAAAAAAACACATAAAGTTGGTTTTTCAAATGCAGTCTATTTAAAATTGTCTCTGACTAAAGCAGGCAAGCCGTGGACTTCGGGTAATTCCCATCACACAGAAACTTTTTCCCAAAGGTAGAAAGAAATGTGTATCTTTAGGGACAAACATTTCCAATCACAGAGAACTTACATCACAGGCTGCCGTGCAGCGACAGTATTTACAAGACCAGACTCTGAGATACAGGTGTCTAAAGGAACAAGAGAAGTCACTATCTGAAGAGCAGCCTCAGGAAAACGCCACTGTCCCTCTGAGGAAGGATACTAAAGCTTCTATCTGTGATTTCTAAGTGCCACAAATTAATTCTCAGGTCATCTGCAGAAAGATATGTTTCATGATCACTATTTACTGAAATGGAATTTATATGATATGTGTGAGCATTTGCAAAAATTCGCCGTGGACTCGCTTCTACCATAAGATCCATGGGCTTCAATATTGGGACCTAAAAATGGAAGGAAATAGGAATTCAAAACAAAGATCACAGCAGCATGTCATTAGAACACTTACAGTAGATAATGAAAGAGGACAAGTTTATATGCACGGCTAATAATTCTGTTCAGGCCATACCCCCAAATAACCAATTAGCAGAGTTATGAAAATACGCTACAAAATTGACTACTGTCTATTCCAAGTGTTCCCCCTTGCTTCCGTTACCGAGGTCGACATTTTCTTCCTGCTGAAGAAAAGAAGACCAGCTGGCACGATACGAGCTGCCCAGGCACCGAGGCCTGCGGCTCCCTCTCCTATGCGTCCTCTGGTGGCCACACTGAGACGCTGCACAGCGAAGTCCCCTCTCTTTGTCCTCTCCTTGCAGCTACATGCACAAACCTCCTCTCACTGCACCAGGACTACGCTTCTTGGTGCAAACCCACAAGCCTCCACCGGCTCCAGGGACTGGCAGGGTGCACAGGTGGGTGCTGGGGAGCTGAGGATGTCCCATTTCTTGGTCTGGGGCTGACTACGTGGGCATGTCCAGTCTACAAACATTCATGGAGCTGGTCACTTATAGGGCAGACATATTATTTGGAGGTATGTATCACTCATTACACTTCATCTGAGGTTAAAAGAAAAAGTAAAAGGTGCCTCCCGCACCCATCTCTGTGTCGAGTGCTGTGGTCAGGGAGGCTTCTAGGGAAGCCCAATTCACACTGAAATGGAAAGGACAGAGAGGAGAAGGGTGCTGGCTGGAGGCCGCCTGAGGTCAGAGGTGAGAGCTCAGGTGTGAGGAATAGCATCACACATGAAAAAAGGACAAAGGTCTGCATCTCCCTAACACCCAGCTGGAAGAAAAACATAAGCTTTAAAATCAAAACAAAAAATTAATGAGAGTATTTTTTGTTATTCTTGTAATTAGAAACCAAAAGGGAGAGCCTTGAAAGCTTAGGGAAGAGAAATCTCTCAACTGAGTCTTGTCTGGCCAAATTCTGTAAAAAACGAACGTGGAGAAGTGTGTGTAGTGAGACTTCCCCCATTTTAACCCAGTTAGTGCTGACCACAGCCTTGGATTCTCTAGATCAAGAAGAGTCAGTTCAACGAAGTTCAGGCTTAAAAAACACACACCTGCCACAATCCTCTAACAAATCTCCCATTAATCAAAACACATGATAGCTGCAATACTTACAAAGATTCCTTCTTTTATTTAAAAAAATTTTAATTTACATATAAAATGATTTGTTTTCATTTTTAGAGATGGGGTCTGGCTATGTTGCCCAGGCTGGTCTTGAACTCCTGGGCTCAAGTGATCCTCCCATCTCAGTCTCCCAAAGTGCTGGGATTATAGGTATGAGCCACCGTGCCTGGCCAAGATTTCTTAATTATATCCCTTTTCTGGCACTAAAATAATTTAAGAGCAAAAATTTAAAAATAGCAACATTTCTGACTCCTACCCAGTTAGGCTCAGATACATAAATAGCCCATTCTGAACTGTTAGGGAGGTACAATCTCAAATACTGACCTAAGTCATTGTACAGAATTACCTGTCTGTGGTCTCTTCCCCATGCACTGACTAATGAAACAACTATACTTCTCACAAGCCTTCAGCAGGGCCACCAATTATACCCATTTTATTTAGGCTAAACCTACAAAAGCAGCCTTGAATAAAACCAAGACTGGGCCTAGTAAAGGCCTACTGTTTTCCCAAAATGAGCATGTGAACTCATGGGTTGTGGCAGGGTCTGATCGGGAGGAACAGGGGTTTCTGAGGGTGGGGTATGCACAGGTACCTGGGTGGGAGGTGGTGTTGCCTGCAGAAGAGATGGACGAGACTGGAGGGGGTCAAGTGCCCACCCTCGGGGGTCCCATCACACTTCTACTTTACAGTCAGCAGTTTCATGATGAAGGAACTGCACAACTCGTGTTACCGTCACTAAAAATGATTTACACTACTTCATGGATGCAAAGGCAGCGGCACTGTGTATCAGACACCACCACCATTTTGGATTGAAACATCTTGGCTCACATTAGGACCCTATAAACTACATTTTCAGCACATGCCACAGCCTTTCTCACTTTGATGAGCTCATAGGAAACAGGGTGATAACATCGATGTGAGAAGTCTGAGGACACTCCTCCTGGGAAACTGGGGAATGCACGACCCCAGGTGCACCCACCCCGCACGCCAAAGCTGGAGAAATGGCATCAGAACAGACCCAGCGTCACTCCCAGGGGCATGTGTGTTAGGGAAAGGCTTCTGCAGTTCAGCGTCCTTCTCTGTAGCACTTCAAAGGCTAATGTGGAATGGGCTCGCTCACTCGGTCTTCACTTGATAAACAATAGCGTAACGTGCTGAAATCTCATTAAAAACCAGCCACCCAACCCAACCAACTCAACCAGCCACACCCACCCCCCACAACCAAACCACCCAACCAATTAACCAACCAACCGACCAACCCACCAACCGTTTTCAGATCTAGTAATGGCACTCCCTTGGGACCAGGCAGGGTTTCCTTCCAGGGGACACACCTCTGCACAGGTGCTGGTTTCTCACCAAGACACACCCGGGCTTGAGTCCAGTTTGCTGGACACCCTTCACCATGTTCCATCTAATTTAAGACACACATCAGTCGTACATAGCACCAGGCCAATTATAAGAGACTGAGGTTTTAAGTTTTACCCGATTTCATAGATGTTAAAATGTGAAAAAATCTAGGCCCTGGAATTGACGAAATATGGTCATTTCATACTGCATGATGCGGGGGGGGGGAGCCAACAATGGAGCAAATAACTTAACAATTAAAAAAGTAATGATGCTCATGGACGGACAGGTGAAGAGTTCTGAACTGTCAGCATCTGCCTAAGTCAACCCCAAAGAAATGCCATGAGAACATCCTGAATGCATCTTGGTGGCCCACAGCTTATCTTTCGATCTGCAGCCTGTGCTGTTTCACCTGAGAAGTGTTCGGAATTCCATCTGAACTTCAACCTGCCAGGTGCTGTTCCGAACCTTCAGAGAGAAGGGTGGTTGGTAAGTCCACCAAGATTTCTGCTGTAGAATTAGATGTGAGTTTTCCCCTTAGTATTGCAGTATTGTCTAAAGACCACATGTGACTTTTTGCCTTTGTGAAAATAGGAGAAAGACCTTGCTTTAAACACATGTGTCATGAGCACAAATGCCTTTCATGACTCAGGAGGCGGACCTCACAGTATTCCACCCAGCAGGACTCTCCAAATAGCAGACGTAAACGTTTATTCTTAACTTCTGAACGGCATTGGATAAAGAAAAGGCAACGTATACCCGTAGTGCTGTGATTCTAAACGGATCTCGAAGTCTTCCATCTTCGTCTTTCAGGTTATAACCTTCTGCTCTTTTATCCCGTTCACTTATTTTCCATAATTTTATAGTTTTATCTGAAAATAAAAACCTCATTCTCCATATGAAAAGAAAAACTGTAACATGCATCACTACTGTTTGAGTATTATATTAGAAAGCGGTGTGGCCCTATGTTGGTTTATAAGCTATGGGGTCTTTGAATATGAATATTTCCAATTGGAGGTGTTTTGCACAATAAACAAAGATGTGGAGACGTGCAGAGTAACATCCTAGTAACTTGCACGTGTGGTTTTTGTTGCATACTTTGAATTTTCAACCTATCACTTGCTACCCTAGATAACTTACCCTCCCCACAAAATTTAAAGCAGGAATAACTTCTAAAATAAAAAGAAATCTACACACACAGAAAATTAAAAATAAAACACTAAATCAGCCACTTAGAAAACAATTCTTACCATTTGTAGAAAGTAGAAAATGAGCAGCATTCTGTTGTGGTAACCACCTAATTTTATTAATTTTTTCCTCAATTTCTAGACTTTTCAAATAGTCAAACTCTGGTTCATGACTTTGAAAAGTGCTGTAAACATTATATTCTCCCCTAGAATGAGGGCGGCTTTTGTTCTGCAAAGAAACATGAGAGCTGTTTTAATGAACAAAGCACAGTGCAGAGAAAATTTCTGTACTATAAATTTTAATATCAAATGACCATACATATTTTTTAAAGCTAAAAAATCCTGGCTCAAAAAAATCTCAAACAGATGAAACTCAGAATCAATGTTTTGGGGAAAAAAACAAAAAAGAAAGAACTTGATTTCCAACTCTTCTATTCCATTTCTAGGTATGCATCTGGAGCAGGGTCTGCCAAATGCAGCCTGCTGTATTTAAGGCAAGTGTTAGCGGAACAGTCAGGCCCATGTGTGCACATACTGTGTCTGGCCGCTTCTGTACCACCTGGGTAGAGGTGAGTGGTTGTGAAAAGGCCGCATGAGCTACAGAGGCAAAAATGTTTGCAATCTGGCCCTGGAGAGAGAGCGTCTGCAGAGTCTGCTCTACAGGAGAGCCGGCACGGGCCCGAGGAGTGCGACACAGCGATGTGGCGGCTCCAACACAGTGGTAGTGAACCAGATGCCACACGCATGCCAACCAGAGGAGAAGGGCACCAGTAAGCCACAGAGCCGTGCGGGCTGAGATAAATGAGCCAGCACAGACAACGGCACAGTGCTGCCCAAGTGAAGCAGGCCGCACAGGCGCCCAGAGTGAGGCGCTGCTTACATATGTACAGAACGATTCTGTTACAGAAGTAGAGAAACATGCTTGGGAAGATATATACCATCTTTGAAATCATGAGCAACTCTGGGAAGGTAGAGAGAGGGAGAAGGAAAAAGACTGGGAGGAAAGTAGCAGGATGAAACGGGGAGGGGACAACAGGAGTGTCATCGGTATCCCGAGCACTCTCTTTCCTTTGATGAAGGGATAATCTCCGGGTAGTGGGTTTGCAGGTACATCTATATTAACCTCTGAATCTTCTGTACGCCCTAAATGAAATTTTCTATTAAGTATTAAACATTTCATAATTCAAAATCAAGGACGCCAGTATTTTCATTCTTGCTCTATAACTAATATCTAATATCTTAGGTGTTTAACATTTTAGTACAAATGCTAAAGAAACAGAACTAAACGAACTTTTAAGTCTCGACAGATGTTCCTTTGTATTTCCAATCTGATCAAGTATCAGAAGACATCCCAAGAAGCTACCCACACCTCTCCGCTGCACGGAGTCCGATGTGCAGGGCACTCCTTCCACTGAAGCCTCCGTGGGCAGGAGCCGAGCGCCTCGCCGCTGACTGCCCCGCGCGTGTTGCACAGGGCAGATGTCGAAACTGCTCTCCTTTGACCCTCTCCTACCCCTCTACAAAAAAGCACAGCCCCTCAACAGACGGTTCTATTGCAAGGGAGAAAAATGGAACCAAATTATTTAAAAAGAAAAATCTGTATAACTAAATTAGTCCTATACCCGAGACATTCATCTGTCAAGAAAAACCAGCGGAATATAAGCAAAAAAATAAAATGTCCAAGTCAAAGTGCTGCCTGCGCCACCCTTTCTCCCAGGAGCCAGAACAAGAATGGTCCCTGGGCTGCAGGCTTGTCTCTCTGCCATGTACTGGTTCCAACTCCCATCCCAGACACCCAAAACCCAAGCAACCCCTCAGCCTCCTCCAACACTCCGAGATCTCACGGAGAGCCGCTCTGCTAGGGAAAGGAACTCTAAAGGAAGCCTCCGCGGGGACAGAGACAGGAGAGTAGGGGAGTAACACACAGGAAGAGGAGGAGGAAGCAAGCACCTTCTCTTTTTGGACATGCTGATTTCTGATTTAACCTGATTCCTGGGGACTAGAGCTGAGCCTGGAGGGCAGGGAGCTGCACAGCCACATCCATAAATTCTGTGTGCCTTAGTTTTACCAGCTGGGCTTTCCTGTAAGACTTAATCTGCACAGAAAAATAAGAAAAGCTTGAAACTCAAGGTGCTGACTATGCTCCCTACCTCATCTTCTGCATAGCCAGAGCTTCCCAACAAGCTTCTATGGGCCTGACTCCTGAACCTCAGGCCCTGCACCTTCCACAACCTGCTGGGGCACTCACTAGCCTTCCGAATCCCCCATGCTCCTTCGATTCTAAGATGCGCAGGTGGACACCTCTGAACCTTGCTGCAGCTTCTAACTGGGAGCTGGGGTCGCTTAATGGGCTTCATCCTCTTGGCAGCTGCAACACCATCCGCGGCCTCTCCGACCACGGATGAAAACGTGCACTGCCACCTTCACCCACACAGAAACACAGGACCACAGTGAGGGTCACACGTGGCAACCAGCGAAATATTCTAAAAACAGATGGAACATGCAGGCCTTTCAGATGTTAACCAAAATATGAAGGAAAAGAAAAAAACTGCCTGGGGTTTATCAAGTTGCAGTTGACTGGGTTTATTAAAGAACTTTAGTAGGGACTTGCTCCTGTGTAAATCTGTCACTCACATAACAACTTAATATATCTTAAATAAGCACTTAAAACTCCAATACCCAACATATTTTAGAACGAGATGCTTGACTTTTATCATGGTCTGTTTTATATTTGAGACTATTATTTTTGGGGTTAAGCAACGATTCACAAAAACAAGAGAAATTCCATTTTCTATCCTAAAATCTGTTAGGCGGGGATGAGGTATTTTCCCTAAGGCTGCTGCTACAAGGACAGACTTTTTAAAGAAGCTAAAAGTGAAGTTTTGCAGTAAGATAACCATGACTCAGCAATTTGTTAAAAAATCCTCCTGCTGCTCAGGCGTGGTGGTCCATGCCTGCAACCCCAGTACTGTGGGAGGCTGAGGTGGGTGGATCACCTGAGGTCAGGAGTTCGAGACCAACCTGGCCAACAAGGTGAAACCCCATCTCTACTAAAAATGCAAAAATTAGCTGGGCGTGGTGGTGCGTGCCTATAATCCCAGCTACTCGGGAGGCTGAGGCAAGGAGAACCACTTAAACCCTGGAGATGGAAGTTGCAGTGAGCTGAGATCACGCCATTGCACTCCAGTTTGGGCGACAGAGCAAGACTCCATCTCAAAAAAACAAAAACTCGTCCCGCTTTAAAAGTATTATTTAACACCACAACCCATTTTTACTTCTGTTGAAAAAGGTAAGGTGTATGGTTCTTCTTCTTCTTTTTTTTTTGAGATGAAGTCTCGCTCTTGTTGCCCAGGCTGGAGTGCAATGGTGTGATCTTGGCTCACTGCAACCTCCGCCTCCCAGGTTCAAGTGATTTTCCTGCCTCGGCCTCCCGAGTAGCTGGGATTACAGGCATGCACCACCATGCCCGGCTAATTTTGTATTTTTCGTAGAGACAGGGTTTCTCCATGTTGGTCAGGCTAGTCTCGAACTCCCGACCTCAGGTGATTGGCCCACCTCGGCCTTCTAAAGTGCAGGAATTACAGGCGTGAGCCACTGCGCCTGGCCAAGGTATATGGTTCTTAAGTAGCATTATGTGATATTCTACTTCTGAGATAAAAATACAAAATTATAAATATATCAAACTGTGAAGATTTAGAAAGACTGATAATATATTTACTACTCACAAAAGGATTTCTTACCATCCCAAATCAGAGAAAACAGGAATTATAAAAAATCTTTAACTACCTGGACATAATCAAAATTAAAGCTGCAACAGGTATGTTTTGATAATGAAATTGGTTAGCACCTGTCAATTTTCCCCATGTGGCCCAGGGACAGCCTCCTCCAGGCTCCCCTTCCTGGGGGCAGGGCCAGCGCTTCCTGCGTACAGATCTGCAGAGTGGGGAACCAGGGCCCACCAGCCTCTAAACCAACGTTCACCACGTAAATTTAGAGACCAGACTTTGGAGATGATAAACTGTCCCTTTCATCTGTTAGGAAACTCAGAGGCAGGAAGGGCAAGGGACAGTATTTACACTCTGTTAAGGAAAAGGCAGGACAAATATTTCAGACTCCAGGCATGGCTGCGCCGAGCCAAGGTTCCTGCCCGGCATCCTTGCCTACCAAATCATGATCTCGCTTCCTTTATCACTGCTCATGAGGACCTCTGACGAGGCTCCAGAAAGAAGAGGGAGGGGGCTGGCAAGGCATCAGTGAAAAGGAAGTGCCGTGACCTGGAAGCCAGTGTTTGTTTATGAGCTGTGGGCTCCTCCAAGGCCCACACTCTGAAGGTTCCCTTCCCTCTGGACAGGTGAAGCCTTCAAGGGGGCGTGGAGGAGTGAGTGCTGCTCACCTCTCCTTGAAGGGAAGAGAGAATTCACACCCCTGCCAGACTTCTCTGGAAGAAGTGCTGAGAAAGCTGCTCACAGCACAGTGCCCTACAGAACGCTCTTCTCCCTCACGGCAGGGCAGGATGGCGGGGCTGGGCCAGAACCCGCACAGGCGAATAAAGGGATTTTCAGAGACAGCCGCCTGAGTTCTTATGGAATGAAAGCACATAAATGCACCTCACCATCACCCTGCATCCTTCACGAGGTCCCCAGCGGAATCTCCTCCCTACTCTGAAGACAAAGGCCTTGGAGACTTCACCGGGGCTCAGCAGCTGAAGCCAGAACTTAGAGAATTTCCGAAAGGAGACTCTGTATGGCTAATGTGATGGAACTGAATCTTAATGAAATGAGACAATGAGAAAATAATTTTGCTTCCTCCCTTCTAAGTTATATGCGAAAGGTTGAATAATTGCATTTGGTTTGTGGACTGAAAATTACTGACCTCTTGTTCACGCTGAAAAATAACAACTCTGCCGCCCTTGTCTCCTGTTGCAAGAAGATCTCCAGAGTAATTAAACTCAACGGTGGAAATGATGTCCGCTGTCAACAAAATACAGAAGCGATTTACCAGATGCGGTTTTGGGGAGGAGTCACGATACCAAAAAACTAATAAAAAGGATCAAAAGAAAGATAAACATATACAACGTTCTCCCAGAATAAAGCAAAATTGTCATGGCAAACTTGTAATTGCCAAGCAGCCACTCCTTGGTTCTGGTGCAGAGAACCTGCCAGCACAGGTGAATGGGAGTTTTACTCCACCTCCACGCCTGGGCCCCCGGTGCACCAGGATTTATCTAGACTGCGTTGTCTTGATACAAGGATAAAGTGTAGAAATTTAGAAAATTCATTTTTAAAAGAAAAAAATGGAAAAAAATGGGTCCTGAAGAATGTTGCCTAACTTTATAATGCACACCTAATGTTAACTTTTACAATAAATCTGATTCTTATACGATAGTAATAAAAACGTTGTAACATTCTATGCTTTGTTGGCTTCTGTACAGTGTAATATTCTAGACAGTAGAAGTTCCATGTCACTGTCTGAATACAGTTACCACCATTGA